ACATCGAACCCAATTTTTCGGTGAACTTTAGCCGTTATTATGTCGAGATCAAACTGTGACCGTGTCACTTCCCGTGACGGACCACTCGGTGTAACAACCTGTCACAAGCGACTAAGCTTATCAACGTGTCACAAGAAAATAAGTGTGTCAACGTGTCACAAAAGGCACAGTGTGTCAGCAATAGGAAGTGTTAATATTGAAGCGTCATGCGATGAGGACGGCAGCCCACGCAGGTGAGGTTGTCCACTGATGTAATTATTGTCATCATTTATCATTTCTGATCTGCCGTCCAACTGATCCCGTGCCGTCTAACTGATCTTCTGCCGTCCAACTGATCCGTGCCGTCTGACGGACTCTATATACCCATACCCAGTACAAAATCCAGGATGTTTCACCGGCCATTAAGCGCGAGGCGGACAATCGTGCAAGTCGATGGGCTACCTCTCCCATTAGTGGTACCGGTACGACTTATTGTGCTTGCTGTCCATGGACCGTGCTATCAAAAGTAGTTACGAGTTTGTAACTCCTGCCATCATTCACTGATAGCTATTCAAGCTAAACCCATCAATCACAAACAAGAAATCGGCAGCTACGTAGACTCAACGACTTCCGACTTTGGGCTTCGGGGCCTATACTTTCAAAAACGTTTAGAGATCGTAAGTACTTATATTATTAGTTTGCTTATATCGCAAGTTCACAAGGAATTTAAAAGCAAAGAAAACGCCAAGAAAATTCACCATATCGATATAGTTTTGAAAGTATGGCCTCAGGTCTGGTGATTGTGGTGGTCAAATGAGATGCTCAACTTCATTAGAATGTTCCTCGTGCCCTTCTTTAACAAATCAAGCTGTAGGGATCGGGACATTATCATCTTGAAAGATGGTGTTAATTTTTCCCTTCCGGAAACAGTGCTTGAACCATTGAACGAACTTGGTCCTCCAAAATTCCTAAATAGTCACGGCTTTTGTTCTTTCATAAAGAGAAATCATTGATACGCTGGATTACCAAGAAATAGCACCCCAGATCATCACACATCCCCCGCCATGTTTTACGGTTGGGAGGAGGCAGTCAGGATTGAACGACTCTTTTGGATGTCTCTACACGCGAACTCAGCCATAGGTTGGAAATAAAGTAAATAAATGTTTCGTCAGAAAAAATCACATTTTTCCACTACCCAAGGGACCAATTATGGAGGTTTTTACACAACTCTAAACACTTCGAAGCATTTTTTATTTGATACCAGAGATTTTGTAATTGCAGATCTTTCATAGAATCCAGGGGCCATACTTTCAAAACTCGCTAAGTGAACGTGAGTACTTACGCTCTGTTTTCTTGTCTATGATTGGTGGATTTTACTTGAAAGTCCGTCAATGATTGGCTGATGAACTTACGATCTCTTAACTTTTTTTGAAAGTATAGGACCTGATCTGTGCAGCTCTCGGCGGACAGTCTTAATGGAAACTGGGTCCTGTAGGTCTCCATTGAGGTCTGCAGTAATTTTAACAGCCGCGGTCTTTCGATTGTCTCTCACAATTCGATTTAGTTACCGACGGTCTCTCTCAGACAACTTCGACTTTCGGCCTGACCTGTGTTCTACTGAGGACGTTTTTCTTTCTCTTTCAAAAGCAGTCATTACTTTTAAGAGTTCCTCTAGAAAAGTCAAGCATTCGGGAAGTTTCTGTCACACTAGCTCCTGTCATACGGGCACCAACATTTTGGCCTCTTTAAAAGTCAGAGAGATTTGCCATTTATTGGTTATAGGTTAGGTTATAGACCCATAAATATACTAAAAATATCTGTGCAAGGATAAAATATCAATTAGCAACAAAAATAAACGCCAACACATATAATATATCACGTTTTTATTGTTTATAACACGTTCAAAAATTACGATAGCAAGATTTCAGATGTTTCCCTTATTTTGTCCAACCTCTGTATTTTCGTGGCATTGTTCAGGTTGCAGGTAATATATTTTAATGTTGAAGTAATATATTTAGTATTAGTATATCAAATCTATAATAGAGTCATATTATTATATTATCATTATTTGTTACTAGAGCCTAATAATAAGAATAAATTTCATATTATGAAACAAGTGTAACCAGGGACACTAGGTATTACTCAATGCTTGCCTCACATTTACGTTTATTATCAGTTCAAATGAATGGAGTATGTTCCAGGAATAAGATTTTAATTAATGAATAATGAATGAGGTTTCATGTATATCTGATATAAGCTGAATTATTTTCTTCACTGTGGCGTCTTGTGGCATTCATTATTCGGTGCGTGCAATGTTGTGATGACTTGTATACTGCACACACTGTACGTAATGAGGGGTGATACTGTACACACTGTANGACATGCGTCTCGATGCTGTAGCTTGAAAATCCTAGGAGGAGATAGGCAGTTTTTTTCTAAGAATTTCACGTTTTCTTTAATTTTTTCGAAACCTTTATACGAACAAAAAGTCTTTGATTTCTGTTTTACATATGTGCTGTCTCTTATACACATCTAGATGTGTATAAGAGACAGACGCATTCCTCCCCCCACGCCGCACGCATTCCTCCCCCACGCCGCACGCATTCCCCCCCCACGCCACACGCATTCCTCCCCCCACACCGCACGCATTCCTCCCACTAGGGGAATGTCTGGTGTTGTTATAAGCGTGCGTGTTTTTTACGAGGTTCTCGGCCCTTATTGGGGCAGTCGCGGGGCCTGAGGATGAGCTGTTGTCCCCACGGGGCCCAAATAAGGGGATACTGTGGGGGAGAGGGGGAGGTAATTTGTGGGTGACCCGCGGGGGCGGGGGTGCCACGGCGGGGGTTCAGGTCAGCCGAGACCGTCAGTGCCGTCCCGGCGGTGGTGGGGAGAGGTGCGCACGTGTGCGGTCCGCGGCGAGTGCTGCCCGGAAAATGTCCTGTGTTGCTAGGCACATGAAATATATCGATATTCAATAGATTATTCATAAATTTAAAAAATAGTTTACTGCTTCATTATTGTGCTCATAATCTTTGAGCACAATTTCATTTGCGTTTGTTGTATAATTATTATATGCTTGTTTCGTCGCGGGAAGTTTGCTTGCTTCGTTGGTTAGGAAGTGCGTGAATTGGGAGACGCTACGCTGTTTTTACAAGCATCAGTAATGTGACGATAATGACGACACGAATAAATAACAGGCCAGACAAACAGGGTAGGCAAATACCGGGACAGACAAATAACAGGACAGATCAATAACAGGACAGACAAATAACAGGACAGACAAATAACAGGACAGACAAATAACAGGACAGACAAATAACAGGAAAGACAAATAACAGGACAGACAAATAACAGGACAGACAAATAACAGGGCAGACAAATAACAGGGCAGACAAATACCAGGACAGACAAATAACAGGACAGACAAATAACAGGACAGACAAGTAACAGGACAGACAAGTAACAGGACAGACAAGTAACAGGACAGACAAATAACAGGGCAGACAAATAACAGGACAGACAAATAACAGGACAGACAAATAACAGGACAGACAAATAACAGGACAGACAAGTAACAGGACAGACAAATAACAGGACAGACAANATCACAAACAAGAAATCGGCAGCTACGTAGACTCAACGACTTCCGACTTTGGGCTTCGGGGCCTATACTTTCAAAAACGTTTAGAGATCGTAAGTACTTATATTATTAGTTTGCTTATATCGCAAGTTCACAAGGAATTTAAAAGCAAAGAAAACGCCAAGAAAATTCACCATATCGATAGTGAAAACGTTTCAGTACCGATATGGTGAATTTTCTTGGCGTTTTCTTTGCTTTTAAATTCCTTGAGATCGTAAGTTCATCAGCCAACCATTGACGGCCTTTCAAGCAAAATCCACCAATCAGTATAGGGATGCTGAGGGTAGAGCTCTTGACAAGAAAATAGAGCGTAAGTACTCACGCTCACTTAGCGAGTTTGGAAAGCATAGCTCCGGGAGCGTTTGGGCGCGCGTATACGCTGGAAGCTTCGTCGATGGCGCGGCGATGATACGCGGGTGCCTCGTCCACTCCGCGCGGCCTTGATCTGCCCTGGCGCGCCGGCGAAACGTCCTGAATTTTTGACCAGGTGCAACGCGCCCTCGCTGGTCCCGAACTGTACGGAAATTTTTCCTGATTTGACATGGGTTAGCTTGCTGGTAATTGAAGAAGAAACTAAAGCCTGAGTCCATCTTTAGTGCAAATCAAGAGTGTCACGTACGGTTAATTGAAGTCTAACTTAAGGTTAATTCAAATGTAACGTATGTTTGATCAAAATTTCGCCTATTCCTAACGCGACTGTACCATATATGGTTAAAATAGATGCATGTGATGTGAGTCTACGCCAGGTTAACATAAGTGTAATGTAAAGTTAACATGACTGTAACTTGAGTGTATGCAAACTGTAACTTCACTCGTCGATCATAACATGATACACAAAGACCTTTGTATGAATATGTCCCCCCCACAGACGGCAGAACGGGGGGTCCCTACACAACCTGGCCGCCCCCCGCCTCACCTACTCCGGCACCCCCACCCTACCCAAGCAGGGGTGAGTGTAGTGGTTTCCTCTCCCCTTGTGCCTATCACTGTTCCCCATTTACTTATCATTGTTCCCCACTTACTTACAAATATATAGTTATCAATTTACGTATGATTATTTCCTATTTGCATATTATTGTTATCATCCTGTCTATCATTGTTCCCTTCTCATTTAGTATAGTATCTTCTGCATTCAAGAATGGGCCTGGATAAGCCTATTGCCAATTCTTGTAATTTTCTTGACTAGTTCACAGATCTAAAAGACTGGCCTTTTGATCAAATCTTTTCAACGGACGGTAGGTTTGAAATCGTTTCTAGACTTTCAGTTGTTCCTTAGGGTACTAGGCTGTTATTCCCAAATAAAAATTGAGAGTGGAGCACCTATGTTTTTATGGTGGCTATCGGCGGACCCCATAGGTGGAGCTTATATGATTTATACAGTGAATTAAGGGTCTGTCTCTTATACACATCTAGATGTGTATAAGAGACAGACCCCCACCCCCGCGCCCTCTGCACACCTCCTCCTAGACTGGGTCTATGGCTACAGGTGAGGGGTCCATGGCTACTTCTAAATTGTTGAAGTCATAGAAAATTATCGGTATGACAAGATCGTATCAGCGTGGCCTTGGGCGTTCACTTGGTCGGCAGCGCGACGAGCGGTCGTGTCAGACGCACGACCTCAGTGAGCTGCTGGCCTTCATGCAGGCATGTCGGTGCTGCTCCCTGCAGCATCTCATTTATCTTTTGTTGTCGTCATTCATAGTTAAGCGTTTTTCTTTATTGAAAATCGCAAAATAATTTTAACAGAGTTAGGGTATGATGTCAAACTAATGAAAAATGAGAACAATGTTTTAGAAAAGGTGACAAAAATTTAAATAATTTCGAGAGCTTATACTGCGTACTTTAACTTTAATCTACTTTGATTGTTTCAAGTTATTTATGTGGTTTTGATTACATGAAACTTTTTTTTTTCATACCTTCACGTATGTCGTATAAATTTCATTACTGTCACACGTTAGTCGTTACAAGGATCGCATTCTCACATTCATAAAATGTTGCCATAAACTTATTACTATTTATTGTTGAATGATTCATCGACAACCTCTTGACCAAGTCCTTACATGAAATCCCCTCGTTGCCGCCCCTGCAGAGGGCGCGACTGCCGCAACAACCTGCAGCAGCTGCCCACGGGTGAACTCGTGTACTTCGTGGCGGCGGTGGCGGTGCTCTACAATGTGGCGGACAACCAACAGCGCCACTACCTCGGCCACACCGACGACATCAAGTGGTGCGTGTAGAGTGTTGTGCAACTGCAGTATATAGCTGTAGCGTGTAGCTGTAGCGCCACTACCTCGGTCAAACTGACGACATCAAGTGGTGCGTGTAGCTGAAGCGTGTACTTGTAGATTGTGTCTGTTGCGTTAAGCTTATGTCACATGCATCCACATCGTGGATTTGCGGACGATACGAGAGTGCTGATGAGGACCACAGACGTCCTAGGCTGCGAGAGATAACATGATGACTTGTCGAAAATCTACGACTGAGTCCTAGTGAATAATATGAAAAAATAAACGGCCGGCACCAAGTTCGACGTAATGAGATACCGAGTCGGCACAGAGGCCGGAATGCCACATCGCTACTTGGCATCGGACGGCACAGAAATTGAAGAGAAGCAACTAGTTCGAGATCTCGGAGTACGTGTTGATGAGTAACGAAGCTACGTCTGATGACCACATCGAGGAAATAGTTGCGCGATGCAGACAACGGATGTGGTGGATCTGGCGGACATTCCGAACAAGAGAAGCAGCGCCAATGATTACACTCTTCAGGGCGATCATGCTCCCCAATCTTGAGTACTGCTGCCAGCTTTGGGCTCCACTCAAGATCAACGCGGTTCGGCAAATGGAGACAGTCTAACGGACTTTCACGTTTAACATCAGCGGTATGAGGGAGCGGATCTGAACTCCTGGGGCAGGCTGGAGCGCCTTGGGACTGAACTCACTGGATAGGAGAAGACAGAGGTATATACATCGTACTGTATACCTGGAAGACGATAACCGGACTGGCTCCCAACTTTAAAATTGAGACTTTCGATCAAGATAGTGACATATTTCAACGAAAGGAGGGGATACTGAGCAGGATACCCCCATTTAACAACCGCACTGCGACCAGAGATCAGACTCTTCAGGAGAGATCTCTTTCCGTAGCACGACCGAGGCTGTTCAACGTCTTGCCAAATTCTCTGAGAGGAGCTGAGTTCACCCTTGCCACCTTGCTACACTGGAAAGACGATTGGATGTTCTTCTGAGTACGATCCCGGATTATCCTGTTATATCACACTATACCCTCTGAAAATTCCAAGCAAAAGCATTTTGCATCAGCTGGTAAAAATTACGGCAGATGCACCGTGGTCACCTTGAACGTTCCCTCCGGGACCTGAGGGCGGGACGCCCTGCCAATAGACGGCTTGAAGACGAAGGTGGTGCATCAGCATGACCACGGACGAGAATATCCTGAACTTGACTTGAAATTTATAGCTATATCGTGTATTTGTGGAAAGTAACGAGTCAAGTGCCAAATCTTCTGTTAAACTTGGTGAACTTTTTCCCTGCAACTCAAGTTGTACGTATAAGTCTCACCGAAAAATCCCAAGTTCTCAGTCCAAGATCGCAGCCAAAAGTAGCTTTAATAAATGTATGTTTTGTTTGCCCAGCCTTGCGGTTCACCCCAACCGGGTTATCGTCGCAACCGGACAGACGGCTGGCAACAACCGCACCGACACGCGGGTGAGTCCGGCGCTTCCCCCATCTCGTCCCCCAACTCGGGGGATATTTATTTATTTATTTATTTATTTATTTATTCATCTTCTTGATTATTATTTTATCTAGTCATTATTTATTATTTATTAAGTTATGAATCTATTTATTTATGAATTCATTGTTCACTTATTTAATTACTTATTTATTTATTTATCGATTCATCTATTTAGTTATTCAAATACGTTTACCTACATTTAGTCATTAACTTATTCATTTCTATTTATAAATACTTAAGAATTATTAGTGGGCAAGAGGGTGAACAAGAAATTGATGATGGGTTTTGTGGTGTGGGGTTTGGTGTGGGGAGGTTCTTAATTGTAGCAGGTTTTATGTGGGGGAACTTGAGGTTCATTTCCATCAACTGAGTCGTGCTGTGGGCGAGATAGTCGGTCTCTTTTTGCACAATGACCCGTTCATTGATCTGAGTGTATTCTGTCTGCTGTGGCTGGATGTGGTTACTTACAGTAATGTCAACACTCGGAATAATGAAGAGGTCACATTATCCAAATTCTTACACACTTTCTGTACGCACGAATGATAGGCTTTTTTACCTGCCCAAACAGTTTGAGGGAAAACCTACTAATGGGCAAAGAGTGCATCGCTATTTGGACACATCCTCACTAATTTCTCTGTTTGTAAGATTTTTTTGCATATACAGAAGTTAGACAAAATAAGGGAAACACATGAGAAATCCATGAAATATATTTTAGTTTGGTGTAGGTCCACCTTTTGCGGCAATTACAGACTCAATTCTACGAGGTATTTATTCATACGAATTGTGAATTGTTTCCAAACGAATTTTGACCCATTCTTCAGTTAAAACTTTGCCGAGCTCTTCTAAAAACGATGGCGGCCGGAATGGACTTCTGACATTTCTCTAAAATCGACCCTAAATGCTCAATAATATTCAAGTCTGGGGATTGTGGTGGTCAAATGAGACACTCAACTTCATTAGAATGTTCCTCGTGCCATTTTTTAACAATTCCAGCTGTATGGATCGGGGCATTATCATCTTAAATGATGGTGTTAATTTTTCCCCTCCGGAAACAGTGCTTGAACGAACTTGGTCCTGCAAAATTCCTAGATAGTCACGGCTTTTGATTCTTCCATGAAGAGAAATCATTAATAATACTCTGGATTACCAAGAAATAGCACCCCAGATCATCACACATCCCCCGCCATGTTTTACGGTTGGGAGGAGGCAGTCAGGACTAAATGACTCTTTTGGCTGTCTCCAAACTTGAACTCAGCCATAGGTTGGAAATAAAGTAAAAAATGATTCGTCAGAAAAAATCACGTTTTTCCACTACTCGAAGGACCAATTATGGAGGTTTTTACACAACTCTAAACACTTCGAAGCATTTTTTATTTGATACCAGAGATTTTGTAATTGCAGCTCTTCCATAGAATCCAGATCTGTGCAGCTCTCGGCGGACAGCTTTATGGAAATTGGGTGTTGTAGGTGTCATTTAGGTCTGCAGTAATTGTAACAGCCGCGGTCTTTCGATTGTCTCTCACAATTCGATTTAGATACTGACGGTCTCTCTCAGACAACTTCGACTTACAGCCAGACCTGTGCTTTGCTGAGGACGTTTTTCCTTCTCTTTCAAAAGCAATCATTACTTTTGAGATAGTACCTCTAGAAACGGCAAGCATTCGGGTAGTTTCTATCACACTAGCACCTGCCGTACGAGCGCCAACAATTTGACCACTTTTAAAGCCAGAGAGGTTTGCCAATTGTTAGTTATTGGTTAGGTTGTAACAAAAAATTGTACTACAAATATCTGTGCAAGGATAAAATATCAATTAGCAGCAACAATAATACATAAAAATGCGTCACATTTTCATGGTTTATAACATGGTCTTCTAAAGTTACGATATAAAAATGTCAGATGTTTCCCTTATTTTTTCCAACCTCGTGGCATTGTTCAGTTATCAGGTAATATATTATAATGTTGATGTAATATATTTAATATTACTATATCAAATTTATATAGGAGTAATACTATAATAATACTTCTGTTACGAGAGCCTATTAGTGAGAATAAATTGTATATTATGAAACAATTAACCAGCGACACTTACTATTAATCAATGTATGCCTCACATTTACGTTCATTATCAGTTCAAATGAATGGAGTATGTTTCAGGAATAAGATTTTAATTAATGAATAATGAATGAGGTTTCATGTATATCTGATATAAGCTGAATTATTTTCTTCACTGTGGCGTCTTGTGGCATTCATTATTCGGTGCGTGCAATGTTGTGATGACTTGTATACTGCACACACTGTACGTAATGAGGGGTGATACTGTACACACTGTACGTAATGAAGGGAGATACTGTACACACTGTACGTAATGAAGGGAGATACTGTACACACTGTACGTAATGAAGGGTGATACTGTACACACTGTACGTAATGAAGGGTGATACTGTACACACTGTACGTAATGAAGGGTGATACTGTACACACTGTACGAAATTACTGTACACAGTCATGGCGACTCAACGCTCCCATCGACCTCTCTCACCCGTCTGCTCAGACTTGGGTATGTACTGTATACTGTATACTGTCCTGTGTGCCGTCCTGTGTACTGTTCTATGTACTCCTCACTGTTCACTGTATACTGTCCTTTCTACCCCTCACTGGCCTGTGTACCACTCACTGTCCTGTATACTGTCCTGTGTACCCCTCACTGGCCTGTATACTGTCCTGTGTACAATTCACCGGCCTGTATACTGTCCTGTGTACCTCTCACTGGCCTGTATACTGTCCTGTGTACCTCTCACTGGCCTATATACTGTCCTGTGTACAATTCACCGGCCTGTATACTGTCCTGTGTACCTCTCACTGGCCTGTATACTGTCCTGTGTACCTCTCACTGGCCTGTGTTTTTTCACTTCTTAAAGCGCATGCACGCTGTTGCTGTTACCATCTCCGAATTATCTTTATCTTTTTTACTAGTCTAACTAATCGTCATAATCGTTAATTATCATTATCTCTGTTACTAGTCTAACTAATCGTCATAATCGTTAATTATCTTTATCTCTGTTACAAGTCTAACTAATCGTCATAATCGTTAATTATCTTTATCTCCGTTACTAGTCTAACTAATCGCCATAATCTTTAATTATATTTATCTCTGTTACTAGTCTAACTAATCTTCATAATCGTCAATGTTCTGTCAACTGATAAGGCTCGAATTAATCAATAATCACACTAAGTATTATAGTTCATACATTTCAGTCTCCCCATAGTCTGACATAACCCATAGGTAACAAATATCACTATTGACACATAAACCCCTCGTGTTTAAATTAAATAATAATTTAATTTGTATTAGATGGATAAATTTGTTTCATGTTGAATGCGCATTGAATAAACAATAATAAACACGTTGTTTGAATTTGCTAATTTTATCTATTTCCTGTCATGCTTTGTAGTTATACGAGGTTTGCTTGCACGTAAATGTTTGCTTGCTTTAGTGTAAATATAAGGTCATCGTTATTAATTAACAATATTTCGAGAGAGAACTATCAAGTAAATTCGTGCATTTTTTCGTTGCATTTTTTGTTATCAGCTTGTCTTTTATAAATCAATATCTTGACTGCCTCACCTCTGTTCAGAATATTTTATTTTCAATGGGAATTATTCATCTAATTATAATGCTTGCAGAAGAAAATCTTTATTTATGCCTTTTCCAAATTATCTTTGCTTAGCTGAGATGTAAAACAAAGCGAAGATGTGTTGTGTGTCATACATCAGTGGCCACACAACACTGATATATGCCACACAACACTGATATATGCCACACAAGACTGACATATGCCACACAACACTGATATATGCCACGCAACACTGATATATGCCACACAACACTGATGCTGTCTCTTATACACATCTAGATGTGTATAAGAGACAGCTGTACACACTGTACGTAATGAAGGGTGATACTGTACACACTGTACGTAATGAAGGGGGATACTGTACACACTGTACGTAATGAAGGGTGATACTGTACACACTGTACGTAATGAAGGGAGATACTGTACACACTGTACGTAATGAAGGGTGATACTGTACACACTGTACGTAATGAAGGGTGATACTGTACACACTGTACGTAATGAAGGG